CTCTGACCCGCGAGACCTCAGCAGCAGCAGGGTGAGGGCAAGGGCCGCGGACCCCTCCAGGCCAACAGCAGCAAGAACAGAGCTTGGAGGGTCCGGCCACCCCGACGGGGCCCGGGGGCGCCCGCGGGGCTGGGGCTCCTGTTTTGAAGACGGTCCCCCCAGGCTCTGAGATGGCTCCAGTGCCCTCCGCACCGGACACCTCGCGCCAGCCTGCACCCCCTCGCTCGCCTCTCCGCCTGCAGCTGCGCTGGTCCCCAGACAAGCCGCCTCCTCGCAGGCCCTGCCCCCGGCAGTCGCCGCCCGCGGTGGCCGAGGGGCGCCCGGGCCCGCGCTGTGGCACAGGTGCCTTGCGGCTCATGCTTCCCGCAGGCCGAATCCCACAGCAGGCTGAATGCCACCCGGGCGTGCCCTCAGCCAGGCCCCAGGGCGCAAGAGGCCGCTCTGTCAGCCCAGTAAGTTCCTGACCCTAAAGCAGGTGGCCCGAGGCTGTGGCCGCTTCCTGGTCCCGACACCCCTCTCCAGTCACCAAGGTTGTCAGAGAGGAGAAACCTCTTGCGGCAGGTGCCTCTGTGTCTGCTGACTACTTAAAGGTCCCCCGGGGTGCAGAGGGCTGCGCCTCCCCCTGAGGGGGGGGCAGGGAGGGACCCCAGGGCGCAGCGGACCCCTCCCGTCTCCCCACTGCGCCCTCAGCGGTGGGTTGCAGTCAGTCTGCTTGTTCTGCGCCCCACTGTCAGGTCTCTGGGGCGTCCTGTCACCCCCACACCCCCGGCTTACACCAGCTGTTGTATGTAAAAGTAAATAACATGTTTAAAAGCCACAGAACGCAATCAGGACGGGAATCGACCTCAGGGGCCGGAGGGCCGGGTCAGGCCGCGTGGTCCGCCCACACTGGACGAGCTCGCAGCCCGAGCGGACAGCGGCCACGCGCGGCGAAGTGCGAGTCGGGGCCCAGACAAGCGCCGCGTGCCCACTGAGCGTGCCAGCACGAGCGAACGCTCACGAGCACTCACACGAACTGGGGCGCACGGGAGGTGGGGGGCGGTGGGCGCCGGTGGGGCGTCTCTCGGGCCGGAGCACCCCGCGACGGCGGGCGACGCCCCCGTGCCACAGGAAGAGCCGCTTGAGGCGGGCGTCAGCGCGGGGGTGGGGGCGCTTCCTGGGGCGCCGCCCGGGCGCTCTGGACCCCGCGCCCCGCCCCCTGGAGCTGGCCGCCGCCGAGGCCCAGTCCCTCTTCTGCTTTCACCGCGCCGCGCTTAGTCAGGTGTTCAGAAACCTGGGCCGAGGCAACGGGCAGCTTCTGGTGTTTGAGCCGAAAGAAAAACAGAAGGACCCAGGGCCGGAGCCCACGGGCCCAGGCGGGCGCAGGGGGTGCCGCCTCCCTCTGGCAGCTCCGAGGCGGCCCGCGGCCACTGTGGGCCGGAAGCAAGGGAGCATGGGACTGGCCTGCGTCCAGCGCCCGGGGACTTCCTCATTCCGGACGGGCTCAGCCAGGCCCCGGTGACGAGGCCCCTGCCGGCCAGCCGCTAGCCGGCCCGACCC